GCCAGGCAGGTGCGGCGGGCCCAGGCAGGCGCGGCGGGGCCAGGCAGGCGAGGCGGGGCCAGGCAGGCGCGGCGGGGCCAGGCAGGCGCGGCGGGGCCAGGCAGGTGCGGCGGGCCCAGGCAGGCGCAGCGGGGCCAGGCAGGCGAGGCGGGGCCAGGCAGGCGCGGCGGGGCCAGGCAGGCGCGGCGGGGCCAGGCAGGCGCGGAGGGTCCAGGCAGGTGCGGCGGGCCAGGCAGGCGCGGTGGGCCACGCAGGTGCGGCGGGCCCAGGCAGGCGCGGCGAGGCCAGGCAGGCGCGGCGGGGCCAGGCAGGCGCGGCGGGGCCAGGCAGGTTCGGCGGGGCCAGGCAAGCGCGGTGGGGCCAGACAGGTGCGGGGGGCCCAGGCGGGCGCGGCGGGGCCAGGCAGGCGCGGCAGGGCCAGGCAGGCGCGGCGGGGCCAGGCAGGCGCGGCGGGGCCAGGCAGGCCGCGACGGGGCCAGGCGGGCGCGACGGGGCCACGCAGGCCGCGACGGGGCCAGGCGGTCGCGACGGGGCCAGGCGGGCGCGACGGGGCCAGGCAGGCGCGGCGAGGCCAGCCAGGCGCGGCGGGGCCAGGCAGGCGCGGCGGGGCCAGGCAGGCGCGGCAGGGCCAGGCAGGCGCGGAGGGGCCAGGCAGGCCGCGACGGGGCCAGGCGGGCGCGACGGGGCCAGGCGGGCGCGACGGGGCCAGGCAGGGCACGATGGGGCCTAGCGGGCGCGACGGGGCCAGGCAGGGCGCGACGGGGCCGTAGCGGGCTCGACGAGGCCTAGGAGGCACGACGGGGCCCAGGAGGGACGCGACGGGGCTGGGAGGCGCGACGGGGCCCAGGAGGGGCGCGACTGGGCTGGGAGGCGCGACGGGGCCCAGGAGGGGCGCGACTGGGCTGGGAGGCGCGACGGGGCCCAGGGGGGGCGCGACGGGGCTAGGAGGCGCGACGGGGCCCAGGAGGGGCGCGACGGGGCTAGGAGGCACGACGGGGCCCAGGAGGGGCGCGACGGGGCTAGGAGGCGCGACGGGGCCCAGGAGGGGCGGGACGGGGCTAGGAGGCGCGACGGGGCCCAGGAGAGGCGCGACGGGGCTAGGAGGCACGACGGGGCCCAGGAGGGGCGCGACAAGGCCCAGGAGGGGCGCGACAGGGCCCAGGAGGGGCGCTACGGGGCTAGGAGGCGCGACGGGGCCTAGGAGGGGCGCGACCCTGGCTAGGAGGCGCGACGGGGCCCAGCGGGAAGCGGCGGGGCCTAGCTAGGGTACGGGCGGAAGCGGCAGGTGGGGGATTCTAACCTACGCGTGATACCATGTTCAAGTAAGAACTGAATAATGAATTAGAAGTAGAAACCTAGAACAAATACTAGTTGGTTGTACTCACTAAAAGCATACCCAAGTCTAGCCTATAACTTCTACATAGCTAATATGTACAGTGACGGAAACAATTGTCCACATGTTTAGCATATTTTTACATTTTGACGAGCTGTATGCTATAAACATTAAGCCTTAATTCATGGTGGCCATACACGTAGAGAGGAGCAGTTAGAGCATTCACTCAAATCTCCTAAAACCAGAGTAGTATATTTTATGGTCCTTCAAGATGACAACATTTAATAACAGCACATCCGGACAATTTGTACCGGGGACAGGTAGCAAACTAGTTACTAGCAAAACTAGTACCTAGTCAACCGACACTTGGCCTTGATCACCACCTATACCCTCCTAGGCATGTTATCTACGAGGTTAGTGCAAACCTTTACAGGGATCTTCTTGCACTCTTCCTGGACCCACGCTTTTGCATAAGGGGGTGAGCACTAGGAAAATCGCGAAGTATTTGAACGTATGCAAGAGTACTGTGCACGATTTCATGTTGAATGTTATCTCTAAGACTAGCCATGCTGAGGTGTGGCCAAAGATGCCATTAGTCGATTGGTCTCATCTTATCATGGATCGTCTTCATAGTACCGTTGTAGGTAAAAATTACGAGCAGAGTGGCGAAAAATTGCGTATCTGCCACGAAACTTAGGGTAACATAGCACGGTTGACAGTGCATCCTTGCACTATTAGAATCATGCTAGGATCCGTATGTCTCTGAGCGGTGCAGCAGTCGAAGTAGTCGTGACTGGTGGGGAAAAATATCTGGGTTGAGATCTGGTGAGGAAAAGGGTCACTCCAGCGTAACATACTCGTGTTCTCTAAGCCATTCTAAGCCATGTGTCCCGCCTAGGCTTGGAATGGATTGAAGAGCATGAGTTTATAGCACTCGAGTGACCCTCTTCCTCACCAGACCTGGACCCGGATATTTTTCCCCACCAGTCACGACTACTTCGACTGCTGCACCGCTCAGAGACCTACAGATCCTAGCGTGATTCTAATAGTGCAAGGATGCACTGTCAACCGTGCTATGTTACCCTAGGTTTCGTGGCGGATACAAAAAATTTTGCCACTCTGCTCGTAATTTTTACCTACAACGGTACTATGAAGACGATCCATGATAAGATGAGACCAATCGACTAATGGCATCTTTGGCCACACCTCAGCATGGCTAGTCTTAGAGATAACATTCAACATGAAATCGTGCACAGTACTCTTGCATATGTTCAAATACTTCGCGATTTTCCTAGTGCTCACCCCCATATGCAAATGCGTGGGTCCAGGAAGAGTGCGAGAAGTTCCCTGTAAAGGTTTGCACTAACCTCGTAGATAACATGCCTAGGAGGGTGTAGGTGGTGATCAAGGCCAAGTGTCGGTTGACTAGGTACTAGTTTTGCTAGTAACTAGTTTGCTGCCTGTCCTCGGTACAAATTGTCCGGATGTGCTGTTATTAAATGTTGTCATCTTGAAGGACCATGAAATATACTACTCTGGTTTTAGGAGATTTGAGTAAGTGCTCTAACTGCTCCTCTCTACGTGTATGGCCACCATGAATTAAGGCTTAATGTTGATAGCGTACAGCTCGTCAAAATGTAAAAATATGCTAAACATGTGGACAATTGTTTCCGCCACTGTATAAGTTGATACATAGGAGTACACCTTTATACAAAACCGGGAGTCCAGGATTCGGATGTTATAACTACCCAATTTTATGAAGTATTAGGTTCCCTCAAGCTATTTCATAATGCTTTTGATGTGTGTTTTATACGAAAAATCGGCCTTCCGCTTTGAACTTTTTGACTAGTGATGTTTCTATGTATCTCTTCTGCTCAAGCGCACAAACAACTCAGCTTCTAGGTTTTAAGGACTCTTAAATTCCCTTGAGAAATAATAGGGAAAGTTATATGACAGAACTTTCCTTTGAAAAACTCTTTAGGTTGAATTCCTATATTGTTGATCCTTGTAAGGAATGCGTAATTCCTTACTGAGGCTTGCTACAAGGCGTACGATTCGGGCAGTTCGGAACCATGGCCAGGGTTCCAGACCTTTCAGTTCGAGCCTCCTGGGCCTTTCCGAACCTCGTTACGACACATCGAGGCCCTTCGACACTTTTCCCGAACCTTCCGATCCTACGGCCAGGATCACCCTAGGCTTTCTATATATTCTGTTGTCTTCCATTTTATTGTCATTCACTCGTGTACAGTTTTGCCATTGCCCTCCGCGCTACCCGGGAGTCCCATTCATAAGAATCCTGATAAATAACGGTTTTTTATCGGGTAATTTGCTGACAGATCAGCAACATTGACCTGCTGATCTGTACGGTTACGATTTGTTCTTGCAACCTAGAAACGTCATCTTTCTAATCTGACGCATTACGAGCAGTTCTCAGACATGAACATTAGCGTGGTTTTCTGATCTAAACGCTGGGTGGCTCGTTTTCAGTACCTTTGCGGTGACACATCGGCACATCGCGTTTCAGCCAGCAATACACATCAGAATTCGTTTCGGCACATCTTGTTTCAGCCCCTCCTGACGCGCAATACACCTGTTATTTTGTATTCATTGTAAACATATTCGCTGAAAATCTAAATCATTTCGATACGTTAAAAAACCAGTTGCGCAGCTCAATTATACGTGAATGAAATATCATGCTCCCTTAAATGCGACGTTTTTTAGGTGGTCGACAACCATTATAAGGCTGGGGTGTTATGTCACATATTCTAGTAACTAAAAATCCACATAAAAGTAAACCACGCAAGGCCGACTCTTACAATTGGACAAAGTGATTTTTATACACTTATTAGGAGCAAACTATATTTATACAGTTCAATGGAATTTTGCCTCTTATCTATGTACAAAATACTCTTTGTATGCTGTTTTTTTGGCATTTTCAAGCTTGGGAAGGGGCTTAATATTTAATTAATGTATTTTTTATTCTTCCTGCACGACTGGTTTTCTAAGGTAGCGAACGATATAGAGTATGCAGCAAATATGTTTGCAATGTATCCGAAATAACCAGTGTATTCCGCGTCAGGAAGGGCTGAAACGAGATGTGCCGAAACGAATTCTGATGTGTATTGCTAGCTGAAAGGCGATGTGCCGATGTGTCACCACAAAAGTTCTGAAAACGAGCCACCCAGCGTTCAGATCAGAAAACCACGCTAATGTTCGTGTCTGAGAACTGCTCGTAATGCGTCAGATTAGAAAGGTGACGTTTCTAGGTTGCGAGAACAAATCGTAACCGTACAGATCAGCAGCTCAATGTTGCTGATCTGTCAGCAAATTACCCTTTTTTATCCTGGCGATTTACAGATTGCCATTCAACAATTCCAACACACCGAGCACACAGTCGCGCGCAGATTGATGTGCGACTGGATGACGTGGCGCACAAAAACACTCCCAGTCACTGTATTCAGTGTCGCATGCTGTCGCGCGGGCGCCACGCGTCACCTCGGCTATTTCTACTTGTGCTTTACTCGAGCGTGCTTGTACACAGGACCAATCCCTCGCCGGTGTGCGACGCTGAGGTGGGCGCTCTCGTTTCTATACTCGGTGCAACACGAACGTCCGGCGGATCAATAATAATTCTCGGGTTTTTTATCAGGATCAACAATGTAGGAATTCGACCTTAGCCTGTTCAAACCGTACGAGTTGTCAACAGCCTCTGACCATAGATTTGCGCCTGCAGCTTCAGCTCCCACTGCCACGGCGTGCGGCGATGGCGACGGCGCACATCCCGCTCAATCAGCACCCCGATGTCGTCAGGTACTCTCGCCCGTTACCGCGCTCCTACCTAATTCGCCAATGCCCTCGCTCCCGTGATCTCTCTTTCGCTCACCTCATCTCGCTGTCTCGCTCATTGCCCTCTCCCGTCTCGCCGCTAGCAACTCCCCCGTGCCAGCAACCGCCCGTGCGCCTCTCGCCTCTCGGCCCTCGCCCTCTCCCCGCAGGTGGCTGCCGTCGCTCTCCCCGCTGCAGGTGGATCGCCCGCTCGCCCTGGCCGTGTGGGACTTCCGCACCTGCTCCGCGCACCTGCACGCACTCCTCCTCTCCCCGCCGCAAACCCCCGCCTCTTCCGCCGCCTCGCCCGTTCCGCGCCCCACTCTCTCGCCGCTCGGCGCGTGGCAGCTGCCGGCGCGCGCGTCCCGCCTGGCGGTGTGCGCGCTGCCCGACGGGCGGTCGCTGCTGCTGCTGGGGTCGCGCGGGGGACACGTGAGCGCGCTGCTGCTGGACGGATGGGACGTGCTGGGCGCGGGGGTGGAGGGCACGCAGGGGGAGGGCGCGGAGGCCCTACAGCAGGGGGAGGCAGGTGAGGGAGGCAGGGGGGGCGAGCGGATGGCGGGAGTGGACGGGGAGAATGGGGTGGGCAGAGCGCGCGCTGTGCGGGACGGGGGGAAAAAGAGCGCGGGGACAGGGCTGCTGGTGGGTAGGTTCGGTGAGGGGGAGGGAGGCGCGGCGAGGGAGGCCGGCGACAGAGGGGTGGCGCTGATAACGGCTGCGCCACGGGCAGCGGGCGGGCAGGGCCACGAGGGGCGCGTGACGGCAGTGGACTTCCGCGCGGACAACGCGCGCTGCCTCTCCGCGGGCGCGGACGGGCGCCTGCAGGCCATGGCGCTCGTGGGGGGGCAGTGGGTGGCGGACGCGCTGCTGGCGGGCGCAGGGGGCGCTCGGAGGGGGGGCGCGGGGGCAGTGGCGGTGACAGCGGCCAGATGGCGGTCGGCAGTGGAGGCGGTGACGGGCAGCATGGGGGGCGCCGTGCAGCTGTGGGACGTGCGCTCGGGGCCCGCCCACGCACCCGCTGCCACGTGCAGCATTGCATGGTGAGCACTGCTGTGCCACCATTCATTGAACATGCCAAGGCACAGTGCAGCACGTCGCATCGCGCACCACCGCTGCTTTCTGCCTCCCCGCCATCCAGTGCCTTCCTCCCGCCATCCAGTGCCTTCCTCCCGCCATCCAGTGCCTTCCTCCCGCCATCCAGTGCCTTCCTCCCACCATGCGTTGCCATGCCCCGCTCCCCCCCCCCAGGTCGCAGGCAGCACCGTGTGGGGTGGGCGCCGTGAATGACATCACCATCCACCCGTCGCGCAACCACCTCGCCATGGTACGCGCTCATCCTTTCACGTGCACGCGTAGGCGTCCATCCTCTTTGCCTTGCCACTTCCAGGCCTGGAAGCAGCACGCACCCCTCCCACCCTGTCTGCCGCAGCCCCTGTGCCCGCCCACCACGAGTGCTGCTCGCCCTGCCGCCATCGCCACTGTCACCCCTGCCTGCCTTCCTCCTCCCCCATGCAACCCCTCCCATACCACTCCCCACCATACCACCCCCCCGCCCTGCCCCCCCCAGGCAGCGGCGTCGCACGGCACGGTGGTGGCGTGGGACCTGCGCCACCTGCACCACCCGCTGCTCCTCTTCGGCCCTTCCGCCGCGCTGCCCGCCTCCCGCTCGCCCTGCGGGCCCGGCGCTGCATTCGCCGGGGGGGACGTGTGGGAGGTGCAGTTCGACCCGCTCACGCACCTCTCGCTGCTCTCCTCTGCGCGCGGCCCCAACGCTAGCTCCACGGGCGCTGCTGCCGTGCCGCCCATGCTGGCATGCTCCGATGCCGGGCTGCTGTCGCTGCTGCACCCAGGTGACAGGGGGGGGGTGCTGCTGGGGTGCACTGGCACATGCATGGGTGCATCGTGGCATGCATGGGTGCATCATGGCATGCATGGGTGCATCGTGGCATGCATGGGTGCATTGTGGCATGCATGGGTGCATCGTGGCATGCATGGGTGCATCGTGGCATGCATGGGTGCATCGTGGCATGCATGGGTGCATTGTGGCATGCATGGGTGCATTGTGGCATGCATGGGTGCATCGTGGCATGCATGGGTGTATCGTGGCATGCATGAGTGCATCGTGGCATGCATGAGTGCATCGTGGCATGCATGGGTGCATTGTGGCATGCATGAGTGCATCGTGGCATGCATGAGTGCATCGTGGCATGCATGGGTGCATCGTGGCATGCATGGGTACATCGTGGCATGCATGGGTGCACTGTGGCATGCATGGGTGCCCCCATGGCTATTTGAGATGGGGTGCGCTCCATGCTTCTACTGCCTCCTCTCTTGCCCATCGTGCCACCGCTCCACTGCCAGTGCCATACCATCTCTCATCCCACACACAGCAGCAAGCCCTGCATGTATGTGCATGTGTGTGCATGTGTGTGTGTGGATGTGTGTGCATGTGTGTGTGTGTGTGTGCATGTGTGTGTGTGTGTGTGCATGTGTGTGCGTGTGTGTGCATGTGTGTGCGTGTGCGTGTGTGTGTGTGTCGTCCATGCCCCTGCAGACGGCACGGTGCGGGACATCATACACGCGCCGCATGCCATCAACTCCTTCGATGTGGAGCACTCCTTCGGCCAGGTGCGCCCACTACCCGCACCGCCTCCTGCCATGCCCTCACCGTTCCACATGCGACTCTCACCGCCCTCTCTCCTGCCCGTGCTACATGCACTCACTGGCCGCTTTCGCCAGCGCCCTCACTGCCATGCCACCCCAGCTGTCTCCTGCCGCTGCTCGCGCTGTTGGCTTTGCGCCGGCACATCAAGTGTCTGCTGCGTGCTTTGCAATATGACTTGTCCTGCCCGCTACAACTGCTTGTCCAACCTTTTCTGTTATCTTTCTGTGTTTGTTTCCTCCCAACATGACTCGTGTACATGTGTCAACCTGCCCGTGAGCCATCCTGAGAGCAGCATGTGGTGGCGTCGGGTCACCACGCCATCATCTACGTGTGTCGTCCTAAGCTTCCATGAGCCCACGAGAAGCCTGTGGGCTTCAATAGCGGTGGGGATGAAGGCCCCAATAGAGCAGTGGAAGATGGGGACGCAGTTAAGAATCACAATATCCATTACGCTGGTGCACATTTGCTCACATTCAATGAATTTGCATGCCACCTTCCCACTAGTTGGAATGACGGGAGCATGGGGTGCGCAAATGGCAGGCAATGAGCATGTGATAGAAGGCTGTCCTTCGGAGGGAGGGCCCATGAAAACTGCACTACTGGATCTCAAAACCTCTTCATGGATCACCTCAGCAGCAATGCCTTGACACAGTCAGGACTCGAGAGGTCTCTCAACTTCCACGTCGTGTGCAGCCAATTCAACACAGTACACGCCAATTGACACACTAGGCAGGTACGCTGCACTTCCAGTCACCTTGTGAAAATGCAAGAACCTGCGGCGCTGGCTAGCAACGTCTTCCGAGCAAGCCTCAAAGCTGCATTCGAGAAGGTCACCAGAACCATCCGACTAAGTCACGACACGGACCTAAAGGCTGGAAACCAAAGCTCTCTGCGTGACTCCCAACCAACCCAACCCAGCACACCACAGCAACCTCCTGCCACCCCAATCCCCTGTGCAAGCCCCAGCGTAACACGCCCCCTCATCGCGTGCCCCTGCCTAGCGTGGCGCCTGGTTGTGCGTGCTCTTGTCTTTCTTCTTGGCTGCTGCCAGCCGCGCTGCTCTCTCCTTGGCCTCAGCAGCAGCCTTGGCGGAAGCATCAGCCGACCCGCCCTTCTTCGACTTGCTGCCAGCGCCCTTGCTGGCAGCCAGCTTCCTCAGCCGCTCCGCATCCACCACCGCCACCGCTGCTGCAGCTGCGTCGCCGTCGGGCTCTGCGGCACCGTTGGCGGGCTTGTCAGCGTCCTTGGGCTTGTCGCCGTCGTCCGCGTCCTTGTCCTTGCCCTTGTCCTTCTTCGCCTTGCGCCGCCGCGCACTCTTGCTTTCCGTCAACGCCGGCGCCGCCACTCCTGCCGCTGCCTCGCCCTTGCCGTCTGCGCATGCACACGCGGAGGACAGAAGCGGGGGGGGTGGGGCGCAGGGGGGGGGGGGGAAGGGGGAGGGGAGGAGGGAGGAGGAGAAAAGAGGGTGATTGCAAGATAGGAGGAAGGTACCCTCTGCGAGGGTTGAGTGGGAGCACAACAAGTTACGGCAGATGGAGATGAGGTTGGGAAGGACGTACAGATGGGCGGAGCGATAGAGAGAGAGAGAGGGAGGGAGGGAGCGGGGAGAAGGGAAGGGTGTGCGAGAGACAAACGGGAGGCAGGAGGAGAGGGCGAGCGAGATAGCGTGGCGGGAAGGGTGGAAGGGCGGGGGGGGGGGGGGGAGGAAAGGGGGAGGGGGGGGAAACGGAATGAAGAGAGGGGGACAGAGAATGCGACAGATAGTGAGAGAGAGCGTGAGCGAGAGAGAGAGAGAGAGAGAGAGAGAGAGAGAGAGAGAGAGAGAGAGAGAGAGAGAGAGAGAGAGAGAGAGAGAGAGAGAGAGAGAGAGAGAGCGAGAGAGCGAGAGAGCGAGAGAGCGAGAGAGCGAGAGAGCGAGAGAGCGAGAGAGCGAGAGAGCGAGAGAGCGAGAGAGCGAGAGAGCGAGAGAGCGAGAGAGCGAGAGAGCGAGAGAGCGAGAGCGAGAGAGAGAGAGCGAGAGAGCGAGAGCGAGAGAGAGAGAGAGAGAGAGAGAGCCACCCCCAGCATGCACGTACCTTTGCTTTGCTTTGCAGATTGCCCGCATGCCTAGTTCGTACTACGTTCCAATCAATACAAGGACCGCTTGAGAGAGAGAGGGAGAGGTTAAGATTGCAACGGGCCTGGGGTTCATTGACGAAAGATGACGAGCGAAAGCAGCGGTATTTATTGCCATGGTTTGTAAGCTCTTGGCGCTGATTTCATTTTAGCCGGTGTCTCGTCGCTCAGTCTTGCGAAGGGCGTTGTGTGTGTGACCGGCGTTTCACTCCCATGCCACCACTCCGTGCGTGAACGAAACCGCACCAGCACTCGACTCTCCCTCTTCCCCTCTCTCTCATCCTCGCTACCGCAGCGCATCACCCCCTCTCAAGCGCTACCAGCACCCTTCCCACGCTGGACGCTACGGCACCGATAAACCCCAACCCGCCCTGCAGAAATCCCTGACCATAGAAAACGCATTTTCCATAAGAAGTCGCTAATTCCCTGCTTTCCCCGAGCCCCGCCAGCTAAGAAGGTAAGCGCGAGGAAAGGAGCGGCGCAATGGACGACAGTACATGGTCGGGGCAAAACACGTGCCGCGCCGAGTTCGCGACTAGAGGCGTCGTAAGGTAGCGGAAAGAAAAGGAGGGAACGAGGTGGTGGGATTACATCCGTGGGGCACGCAAGGAAGCACCCTGACCTTGTTGATCGGCGGCGGGTTTACTGTGGGTGGCGGCGAGCCCCAGCTCGGCGAGCACGGCGTCGAGCTCCGCCAGCTCCTTCTTCTTCTGCTCCTTCTTCGACAGCTGCCGGTCCAGCTCCTTCTCGCGCTCCTTCGCTGCCGCCGCTGCCGCCGCCTGCTCCTGCTGTGACGGCGGCGCCTCGGTGGGCGCGTCGCGCGGTTTCTCCTCCTCCTCCTCCTCCTCCTCCTCTTCGTGCTCGTCGTGCCCGCCCACCTCGTCCGCAAACATCTCGTCCTCCGATTCGCTCTCCTCCGCCTCCCCCGCCCCCTCGCCCGCGCGGCTGCCGCCAGCGCCCGCGTGCGCGTGGGCTTGCGTGGGCGGGAGCGGCGTGGCGGTGGCGAAGTAGTCGTCGTCGTCATCTTCGCAGTCCGCCCATGACGATACCGTCACCGCCGCCGACCCCCAAATCTGGCCGTCCCCCGGGGCTTGCGACGCCGCCGCCGCTCCGTGCGGCGCGTCCTTGGGCGCCTTGTCCTTCTTCTTGGCGGCGGACTTCTTCTTGCGGCCCTCGAGCGCGGCGAAGATGTTGGAGCTGGTCAGCGATGGCGCGGCGTCATGGCGGGCACCCCCGACCATGGTCCTCGTCGCAGCGCGGCAGTCCTACCCTACAGTACCGCAGATGGCTGGAATTTCCGCCAATCCTCGGTGGAACAGCACGCGTGGAAAACGCAACGACACCTGGCGTTTGCCTACGTTGCTCGTCGACGCAGAAAGCAGCTGAACGTGACAGAAGGAAGGGCGCACACTGAACGTGACAGAAGGAAGAATTCGCGACTTCAACACGGGTGCAGGAATGAGAGTAGGGGCGTGGGGTTGGGGGAAGAGGCATGCGTGAGAGTTGTATGTGGGCGAGTGTGGAGGGGAGGAAAGACGCGAGGGGAAGGCAAACGGGCAGAAGGGAATTGGGTTATGGCAGCAGCGGGCAGGGGAGCGCCTCTTGCTAGGCGCCAGCGGGTGAATCGATGACGGGGAGGGAATGGATGGATTGTGGCGAGAGCCAGCCAATGAGGTCATCGCGTGGTGATGCGTTTTGCCATGCTGACCGCTGCCCCACCCCCAACAGGGTGAGACGATGGGGAGATCCCCGTGAAGACGGCGGCATGGCTGCTGAGAAAACTCTCGATTCTAATCGACGGCTCTCGTTCCAAGAGCCCTGGACACACTACGGCTCATCCACGTCAGCTGGATTTCACGAATTCTGGAAACGCTTGCTGCTTTGGTCTGAAAAAGTATAGATAAAGACATTAGATTGTGGTCACAGCTGCAGTACATTACGGTGTACGGTTCCTAGACATTGCTTACACTTCACACATAAGATGCCATTAATGCCAAATGTGCGATTTTGAAAAATATTCATTATACAATGCCGAATTTGTCATGTATCTAACTACGGAAAACCTATACCACATGAATCTTGAAATGAAATCACACTACCTTACATAAGATACAATTTAGCACGATACCAGGCCCCCCGTTTTCAAGCCATTTACTCTTATTCAGTGGTTTTTCAAGGATTCTGTCTTGCTATGGTATTTTGTGCAACCTACCCTGATTTATCAGCTTTTGCTTTTTATGGGAACTCTGACTGGTCAACAGCAGGGTCTTAGACATCAGACAAAATCGGTCTGGTGGTACGAAAATCAGACCTGTTTTTTTCCTTTCATCTGATTTTTTGACAGGCTAAATTAATTTGTCTGATCGTCCAGATAAGCCATAAGATTCCGTCTGAAAGTTCAGACCAGGTGTAGACTTTCGTATGAGAAATCAGATAACGCGTATTTTTTCGTCTGAGACTCTCGCGCATTCCTCTTTGTCCCCCCATCCCTCCCCTCTTCCCCCCCCCACAACTGAGATTTTTTTGGCTAAGTCATCGACTGCTAGATACATTCCCCCCACACCCCTAGAATACCTAGTTTTTCCGGCTAAGTGCCCCACACAAGAGATATTCCTCCACACACCCCTCGCAACCGCAACAACAAATTCTTGGTTATGTCCCCCATACCAGAGTCATTCATCAACGCACCACACCAACCCAAAAAATTCGGCGAAGTCCTTAACTGCAAGATACATTCCCCCACACACCCCTCGCAGCCCGGTTTTTCCGGCTAAGTCCCTGCTACCCTGCTTCCACACTGCTTTTTCTGCATCGTCGGTTGACTTGACTGGGGGTGGGGTGGAAGGAACCCTGAAATTGCTGGGCAAAGAGAGAGGGCTGCCTGCACGTGGCGCGTCGCGCCACCTGCGAGTGTTCCTGTCAGAATCCGAAGGCGTGTGTCTTACAGTTCCGGAACTCAGCAAGTTCTGGAACCAGGTCTGGTTACACATTTCGCAGCACATTTCGACGGGCTTCGCGAGCTCCTTCCCAGGCAAAATCTTTGCCAGTTCCGGAACTAGTTTCAGAACTTCCATAAGCGGAACCGTAAGACACACGCCTTTCGAGCGTTTTCCTACGGCCTTTGCACAGGCCTGCCTGTTCCCAGACTCGCACGCTTCAGTGAGCTTGACAAGAAAACCTTTGAGCACGCTCTCAGGCGAGGACTGAGTCTGGGAATTGAGTAGCCTGGGAAGAAGCTCGTAAAATAACGCTCTAAGCAGGAATCGAACAAATCGAGGTCGAAATTACGAGGGACGAATATTCTTGCGCAAAAATTTCGCCTGAATTTTAAGACCAATGTAAACGTTTTGTCTAAAATCTCAGACTCTTTGATTTTTTTTCGTCTGATGGTCAGACCAAACTTTGAAACCCCGTCTGATTCTCAGAAGGCCCTAAATCCTAGTTGAAACCCTGGTCAGCAGTGTACTCACTGTAGACCCTTACGAGTCTGCCTAATATCGCGGTACAGCCCTGATTCCTATAATAGCAGAATCTATCCAACCCCCCCCCCCCGGAATTTTCGTGCCAGCCCTGTAACACCCCCGCGTCGTTCAGCAGCTGCATACGGTATAACCTCGCGCGACAGAAAGTGGCGTTTACCTGGCGGCGAGGACAAGGGACCCAGCGCATCGCGTTCATGCACGCAACCATCCCATTCTGGCTGGCGTTTCATCTCCCCATGGCAACGCCCCTTCTGCTAGCTCCATTTCTTGCTCCCACCTGCTTTTCCCCTGAACATTACCTCTCCTCGTCGTTCTGTGTCTGCAAGTCATTGCAGCACGCTGCTCGACTCGTAGACGCCATGGTCGAGCCAGGCGACCCCGACGAGCCTGACAGTACTCGGCACTTGGAGTCTCACACGGGTCTAGACTTGTTACTCTCCACCCTCTCAAGCCTGACGCGTATCCCGCCTAGGGCTAGCAGCGCCGTGCATAGTCCTGCCTGTCAGCCAGCTGGCGTTCTGTAGGTGATGTTGCGGTTGGGTCTAACAGCAACCCCACTGTCGGCCCCTCCACGGCTAAGCCCGAGATCCCCGCTACTACACCTTTTACTCCGGCTAAGCGCTCCGGTCGTTACAGACATGCCACTCTTCCATTTGCTCGTCCGAAGATGACGGGAAACAAGGCATCCGAAGCGCCTGATTCTGACGAGGAGGACGATGAAGATGATCCTCCCTCCGCCACCAAACCCATGCATTCAGCAGACGAGCAGTATGCGGATGTGCAGCGCTGCTACAACACGAGGTGGCAAGACGAGTTTCCATGGCTCCTCCTTGAAAAGTCGCCAGATGGACTTCCTGCCTTCAAGTGTTCCATGTGCATCGAGCATGCAGGTCTGAGTGGTAAGACCGGGCGACGTGGCAGCGGGATCAAGGACGCACAGAAGCAAGCATTCACTCGCCATGCTGGGACGGCTAAGCATATGTTGGCGTTCGGGAAGCAGATGACGCTGCTGCAGCAGGCGACGACACAGACTTTGATCGACCATGCTGCTGGCGCGTCGGACGTGGAGGCGGCCCGGGTCACAGCTCTTCTCGACGTTCTCTACCTTTGCTGCAAGACTAACGAGCCAATGGAGTTGTGGGTGAGGTTCTCATGCTACCTCGCTATGCGGAAGGTAAATAACTTCACCGACGAAGGCTACGAGTGTTACATGAACTGGTGTGGTTCACTGATCCTCATTCCATGAATGTCTTTCGTTGTATGCCTTTCATATGATATTTTTTCTCACACATTTCCCTGAATGTCTATCCTTTCCATGTGTTGTATCCTGGTTGGCAGTTACGGCTTTGGGGAGTTCACCCTGTCAACCGCAACCTAGTTGCAAACCATGCAACTGGAGCACTTGCTTCGAAGCCCATTCATCGGCATCGGTCTGGATGAGAGCACGGATTGCTGCAGGGGGAAACATCTAATAGTCTTCACCACATTCATTCGCAAGAATCATGTCGTCTGCGAGTATCTCACCCTGCTCACGGTGGACAAGGAGGACATTGCGTCCCTGCTCGCACTGCAGCTCTCACACCTGGAGGCGATCGGCGTAGACCTGCGGCGGGTCTCCGGCATCAGCACCGATGGTGCGGCTGTGATGATGGGAGCCAAAGGGGGTCTGGTGACGTGCCTGCGACATCAGATTCCTCACTTGGTGTCTTGTCACTCTATAGCACACAGGTAAGCGCCGTTTTTTTATATGAGTGGCGTTTATGCAAACGGATCGTTGTACGTATTAATACCCTTCTGTATCGTACATCATTTGTGTGTGCGCAGAGAGGCACTGGCTATGAAGGCGGCGGCAGAAGAGGTGCCTAGTTTCAAGATCATCGACGATGTGATTCGTGAACTGGCCGAGTTCCTTGGTCGTTCAGGGCCGTGGCACCAACGGTTTCTAGCACTCCAGGACTTGTTTTTGGCAACGTCACTCGAGATGCAGGGCATTTTTCACGTTTGCTAGCTATCTCTAGGTGACGCTGTCATTCATCTTGTCGATGTTCTCCCTGCAATCATTGGCATGCTCTCAGAGTTTCGTGACAAGCGGCTGTAAAACATTGTCACCTCTTACCGTTTCTGGATCATGCTGATGTTTCTTGCTGATGTTCTCGAGCTGCTCAACACTCTCAACAAGACCTTTCAAGCACGCGAGGTATGTTAATTTGCCTACTTTTTTGAATCCATACGTACTACGACTTGCCTTACTCTGTCTATGTCCCCCCCGCTCGCAGCTGGACTTCGGCTCCGTCAACTCGGCAATCAGCCGCGTGAAGTCCCTTCTCCTAGGCTGATATGTCGATTGCAGCGACGACTTCACCAGGGGGCTGAAAGACCGCCTCACCCGATTCCTCACCCGTCACGGCCCTGGCGGTTCGAACAGCATCACCGTTGAAGGCCTGAAGTCCGACGGTAGCTCAACACGCTTCACCTTCATCCTGCATGACCAAGGAATTCCGGACTATCCTGGGGGGTGGAAGCACGATGACTGCATGGTGGAGTGCATGGCGTTAGCGGAGGGGCTGGCTCACGACCTGCATGAGTGGCTGGGGGGTGTGGAGAAGCTGATCGGCTCCAGAATGTTCGCTGCGGATGAGTGGCCTGTGGGGTGGCTAGGAGTTCCCCGAAACGCCTAGTGCCTTGCCTCGTTCGAGTCCCTAGTAAACCTCTACCATGCTCACGAGGCTGCCGAGATCCTGTCAGGCATCGACAAATTTGCAGCTGCCAAGGAAATCCCGCACTTCACCCCGGTTCTTGCTGCCCTTCCGAAAGGTGACAAGGGCTTCTTCACTGGTCTCACCGCCAGGCTCAAGACATCGGACTGGCAGCATAGTTACCCCAACTTGGTGAAGCTCAGGTGTGCTGTTGCCATCCTGCCTCTTAGTATCGTAGAGTGTGAGCGCGGGTTCTCTCGCCAGAATAAGATAAAGAGTACCTTGCGTGGCAGCATGAAGGATACATGTCTTGGGGACCTGATG